TAACAAATAAGATAAAACCTGCAAAGAAGTGGCCAGACACATATAAAATACATTAAAATGTACAAAAATCAGTAAGAACATTAAGCCAGTGTTATTGCAGCAAACATGTTCTTAAGTAAAGTATTGGAATTTCTTCTTTTTCCCCCAGGTTGGCACTGTATGTGTACGAATATCTCCTTCATGTCGGGGCTCAGAAATCTGCACAGACCTTCCTCTCAGAGGTAAGAATAGGAACCAAAACTTGGGGAAAGTGAGCAGATGGAGGAATATCCATTGATACGCAGCTCAATTTAGATTTGATCATTGTAGATTGGCTATAGAGAGAGCCTCAATGGTGCAATGCTTAGAGTGCAGTACTGCAGGTTACTTCTGCTGACTTCTCGCTGGCTGTAATTTGGCAGTTCAATTCTCACTAGGCTCGAAGTTGACTCAGCCTTCCATCCTTCCGAGGTGGGTAAAATGAGGACCCAGACTGTTGGGGGAAATATGCTGATTCTGCAAACCGCTTAGAGAGGGCTATAAAAGCACTGTGAAGCGATATATAAGTCTTAAGTACTATATTTTCTTTAAAACTGAAGGTTCTGCAGAGGGGATTATAATAAACGACAAAACAGACCAAAGTTTGAAGGTGCTTTTTTCAGGCAAAAGTTTGCAATCTCTTTTTAAAAATATTTTTCAACACAGAGCCGAGGTCTTCCTACTGTAGCTTGATGTGTAGCAATTAGAATTAAAATTTTAAGTTTTGCTTGAGTAGTTTTCTTAGCAGCATTAATGAAATGGTTTGGCACTGCCTTCTTTGGGAATGTTGCTTTGACATTCCAATTTAGCTCTCAGTGTTATATCGCCTGGTGGTCTCCCATCCATTACTAAGTAAGCCAAATTATTAATTGTCAAGGTGTTAAGCCAGGTGTGGCCAATTAGTGGCCCAATTTGAACACATGTTTCTGTTTTCTTATTTTCTCCTAGTTACATATTTTTTTATTCAAGGAATTCCTTTGTGTCTTCAAAACATCCCTTGGGGATAGGGGGAAGACAAATCTGAATAAAATGTTAAAACAGAAATGTATAATTGAAAGATACCAGATGACAGAGCTGGATAAAATGAATTGTTCTTCTGTTTGCTCCATTTTATCTTTTTGATTCAGGTCTCTCAGAAACACAGTTCGCACACTATTACTACTGCAAAATCTTAATAGCACTAAATTTGCAATCCAAAGAGCAATCCCCTTGAGCAAAGAGTAAATTCGCATATAAGTTGAGAGAGAAAAAAAATATTCCTTGGGAATCTTAAACGCAGTGATAGCTTAATAATGCCTTTAGAGATTCAAAGGAAAGAATTCCCCAAGGACAGAAGTCTGATCTGGTGCCTCCACACCCACTCTCTTGCGAACCAGATGCCAGAGTTTATCATTTCAAAGAACAGAAGAACAGCTCTCTTGGATGAAGCCAATGTCCATTTTAGTCCTGCAGTGTGTTTCCCATAGAGGCCAACTAGAGGAATCTTCGGTGCTCCTTCGTTGCTTTTTGCAGGAATTTGGAGACATATTTTCTCCCAACCTGGAGAGAACATTGAGGGATTAAAGAGCCTGTCCTCCATTAATTTATTCAATGCAAAGTATTAACAGATTAACAGAGTTGATCTAGTCCAACCTCCTGCCCAAGCAGGATCCTACATCATTTCTGACAGACGGCAGTCCAGTCTCTTCTCGAAAGCTTCCAGTGATGAAGCTCCCACAACTTCTGAAGGCAACTTCTGTTCCATGGGTTGATCGTTCTCACTATCAGAAAATTCCTCCTTATTCCCAGGTTGAATCTCTCCTTGTTCAATATCCATCCATTATTCCTTGTCTGGCCTTTGGGTGCTTTGGAAAATAGCTTGACACCCTCCTC